GATGTACTGGAATTTAGGAGAATTGATAAAAGCTACAGAACAGAAATCTGAAGTATTTCTCATTCTATTCCTCACTGATTTGAGTTTAATTGATCATTTTAACATGCATAAAATACATTACATCCACACAATTTTTGTCTATTTTAATCATGTTAATGTAATATATTTTATTGCTCTGGAAAAGATGTACACACTTAAATTGAGTCAGTATAGTGCATTTCTTTATTACTGCTGCTTATATACCATAATCCTCTCCTAAAGGCTGTTGAGACTCTTTATAATGGTAAATTAAGGCCTAAACATCGATCCCGTGTTGACCTTCAGCTGACCGTGCCTTATGGAGCTGTACCTGAAATAGCTTTCTGCTGCATATTTGCACTGGCTTGGCTATTTTGCACTGTGAGTATGAACTGGGCAGTATTGACTCCTCGTGCCTGGGAGGTGGACAGATTTGCAGAGGGGTGAGGAATGTATCCCATCTGAAGCACTCTGCAGGGGGAATGTGCCACTGCTGCCACATGCTACACAGATGCCACACAGACTGTGTACTGACTTGGTATCAGTGGAGTGTGATCGTACTGCAAAGACCGGGGAGCAGTAATTGTAATGAAGTAATCGTAAATATTGTGATTAAGAATTTGGGTTTGCTTTTCATACATGAAGCTGAATTCCACTGATTTCTCAAAATGTCTGTAAAACTGAACTATTATGGTCTAAGCAAAGTTATTCAGACCAACTTACCAACTATAGTCGTGGACCATAGTGAGGGGAACCAGAAGTTTGAAGTGCTTAAAGCCTCTAAAACTACGTCACAGAAAGTTATTACCATAGAGTGGTTATGAATATATGTCTGGGACATATTTTCTTAAATACATTCATGGTCGAGAGGTACATGCAGGGCAGTGTAAGACAAAAGAGTCCCCAAAGAAAACAAATTTGTTCAGATTTAACACTGAAGATTATCAAGAACATGTGTAGGTTTAGGATAGTATATAAAAATCCTAAATTTGCATTGTAGGCATCACAACCACTGGGTCACTTTTTTTTTTTTTTTCAAGAAATCCAAGTCGGTGAGCTTCTCTACAATAAACCATTCCACATCAAAACACTCTAAATTACTTAGTTCACATCTTAACTGTTGAATCTATGCATACGTTTTGAAAAATCAGTGGAATTCCCCTTTACAACCTTGCAGATGCCAGTAAGGATGCACAGTATATCATCTGTTGATTGTTATGGCACTTTTGGCCTTTGCAATATCAATGTTATGTTAGGCTACAGTAAGCAAATAAGCCCTTTCATTTGCTGTGACCAATCACAGATGTTCTAAATAATATTTATGGGTTTTTTTTGTTAAATACACACTAATCTTTACTGTCACAGTGAAGGTTCATCAGTATGTTTTTTTCGTATATTACCAGGGATATCATAATTGCTGTATGCGGCAATATAATCACAAGATGATGTCCATATTTTGCAGCTTTAGATGCTGAACATGAACAAGAAGCAGCTAAATCTTTTCTTTATTCAGTGGAAATCATTTGCTTATTGCCTCTTAGTTACACTAACACTATGTAGAGGATGCTATTTTGCTGCTGTCGGAAACAAAACCTTGTATCTCCATTTTTGTCGTTTTTCAGTTTTTGACATAATTTGAAAATATCTGTTGCCCTTTACATTGTGTGTAAATTTCATGATGAATGGACTAAAAGAAATGACCCAAAATGACTTGGAAAAAAGTCTGGTTCCATTGACTTACATTAGAATTAAAGTAGGTTTTTTCCTTCTCCTGTAAAGTTACCATTTTGGAGATATGAGGTTTTCTTCCAACAACAGCGATTTGTAAGGTATATTCATTGCATAGACTTGTATGTGTTTTATCCTGGGATCCAAGTGATACATTATGGAAGCTACTGGAATCTCTCTTGTAATGTTCTCTACTGGCCAGTAGGTGGCAGCATTTAGACATAACAGAGGCTGATCTCATTCCCCTGCTGCACTTACACTAATGTGCTTCAGCCACTCCCATAAGATCAGCAGCGCTGTGTATGGCCTTCAGCTTCACTATCAGCGGCAAAGCAGCCAAACTGTCCTCAGATCAGTCTGAGAATTTTGCATTCCTTTCTCCATCTGGGCTCTGACGGCAGCGTCACATCTTTCCACTCAAGCCCCCATCGCAGCCTGTGCCATTGTATTGAAAACAGATCCAGGCCGTAAATTGTTTCATTACACTCGCAAATATTTTCCAGGGCCCATAAACTGAAGAGTCTCTCCGCTCCCATGTACACACACACACACACACACACACACACACTCCAGACCCCTCCGGTCCCCAACTCAGCCTTAACTCCTGTCCAGTTTTCCCATTGGAAAGCGATAATAAACCAATCAAACACATTCCACTTGTCCGGTCGTTGCTTTATGTGTTCTAAAAAAAGCCTTATTTTGTAGACTGACCCATTTAGGCTTCCAAATGTTTTGCTTTTACTGTTTTTTTAATATTATTTTAGATTTGGCTTTGTTCTCTCGCCTTTCAGTGTGGCCCAGTTTCTCGCAGAGGATTGTATTTACAATTCATCATTTCATTAATATCCGTTAATAACTTTCTGAGCCGCTCAGAACAACAGCGCAGTTACTGTACTGTATGCGTGTGTGTGCTTGGATTGAGTGCGAGTGAATCCATTTCCCTAACTACTCGACCATTTCACCAGTCTTATCTTATCAAAACAGATTCTGCTGAGGAGTAGTGAAACGGTGCGTCAGCGCTGACGTCACCTTCCCCCATCCCCACCATGGCACCCAAAATACAACATGTTTATGGATAAATGGCACTAAGACACCTGAGAGGACTAAACATAGAGCAGGAGGTAATGCTGGTATGAGGAGGAGCCCTGAGACTGCAGCATTGTTGTGGTTTCCATTCAGTGCTTGGAAATGTGGAAGACTGTAGATGCTTTGCTGATTCTTACCTTATCTTTAATATCTACTGAATTCACCCTATTCCTAACGCTGTTAAACTAAATTTCCAGATTGTTTGTCAGGAATTTGAGCACTTGAAGATATAGGGGACCCTCAGAGTACGACAGAATGTTTTTATCCTGAAAAGAGAAAAAAGACAGAACTTTTTCCCTGAAGTTTCTAAATTTAATGCAGAAAATGTTAAGAACCAGAACTGAGAATTGAGTTCCATTTAAAACACAATTAAATTGCTTGGATTTTCATATCTTAATCTTAATCCGTTTACAGGTTCAGATGAAACAGGCAGTAATTTCTCACACTCAGTCAATTCTTACTTGCTGGTTTATCATCATCAGCATTTTCCTCATAATTAGCTTCCTTCTCAGGCTCTCCCTGTTTTTTCAGACATCCGGCGAAAGGGCCTGCCTCTCAGCAGGCTTGCGCATTACGCATCAGCTCAGCTGACTAACGTTTTATCAGCAGCTCTTCCATCCTGTTGACAAGATAAGAGATGGGCCTTCAAATGCTGGACGGCCTTGGCTTGGAAACGTAAAGGCAGCTCAAGCACGGGACTGTAAAACTGAAACATTCTTGCCGTGTTGGAAGGCTCCATTACGGAATGACCTGAAATAAACTTGTGGCAGGGCTCAGAGGAAGTGTCAGAAACCGCATGTGTTGGAAGTGGCCGTTTGCCTTTATTTTGGGCTGTTTACTCATCATGTTGTTGGTCAGGCGTGAGTTTTTTTTTTCTTTTTCGGGCGAGGCGAAGTCAGGGGTAGTCAGTGTCATTAATGTTTCCAGCCCCGAGGACAGCAGCCACTGATGTCATACTTAGTTGCGAGCTTCCTGTTCGGATTCGCCTTTGAGTTCCTTCACTTGAGAAGAAAGAGGGCTAATGGTTAACCAGCTTCAGCTACAAAACCTGCCCTTAACGATTTCCCTTCAAATAAACGCAGATGTCACAAATCACACTCATCACATATTCCGAATATGAGCCGATAAATGTGTCTGCTTGGAACTGCTAGCTGTGCTTGATCGAACGCCATAAAGCTTTCGAGGCTTTTTTTTCTGACATCCAAGAAAAATGCACAGATAGAGGGCACGGGAGGAGCGTCCCAGCACGGCAGCGTAGCTAAATAGATGGACAGATTTAGGGACGGTGGCTAGGGAGGTTCAAAATGGAATTGCCGTCCATTTTTGGCACACGCTAGCGCGATGTGGCACAGGCCAACGGGGTCTAATGAGAATGAAGCTTCTCTAAATCCACAATGGAAATCAGAATAGAGGAAATGGGTGTTGAGAAAGGTCGGGCGCCCCGGAGGAGGAGGAGGAGGCACGTGAAAGAGTGTGAGGACACGCACCTGGGGAAGGGGATTAGCCTAGCCTAGCCTTGCCCAGCCTATTACCCTAGCCTAGACTAGGCTCTCCAGGGGGTGCCAAAGTGGTCAAAGTTTGGCAGGACGAGAGGGGTGCAGCTGTAACCCTTCGCCCCGCCCCCCCCAGGGCTTTGACCCCTAGGTGGGGGCATGAAGGGCCCTTGGGAGACACCTGGAATGAAAGCCATGATGGTGCGGAGGAGTCAGGCAGTCAGTCAGTCAGTCAGTCTTTCAGGCAGAAACAGTACGGAAGAAGAGGAGAGAGAGGACGAAGGACAGGATAGGAAGAGAGAGAAAGAGAGACCCACAGTGTCTCTCCACCACCATCTTACTGGAATCTACTTACACTGCTGGGAGCAAGACAACAGCCGATTAAGGAGGAAATGTACATAGATACACAGTCTTTTTTGGGAATCTAGGAATAGTATTCTGGATATGGAATTATAGCAATAGAGTTGTGGAGATGGAATTCCAGGGATCACATTTTGGGAATGGAATACTGGAATTAATATGGATTTATGGAGCTGGAGTGTCAACTTTTGGAGCTGCATTCTCCATGAATATGATTTGTTTTGGTTTGTTTTGATCAGTGAGACTCACAGCTCTTTCCCTCTCTTGCTCTCTTTCTGTATGTGTGCGTGTGTTTGGTGGTGCGTGCACGTGCAGGGCCAAAGACATGAAGAACCGGTTGGCTTTTCTGAGGAGGAGGAATGAGTCTCCTGGAAGCACTCCGTCCGGCAAGCTGGACAAAACCATGAAGTCGGTCAAGTAAGTGTTGTGTGTGTGTGTCTGTGGTGTGAGTGCATCCGCCTGCTTCCACCAGCCCTGCTCTGGGCAGTGTGTGTGTGTGTGTGTGGGCTGAGACTAGAAGTGATGGAAAACACGCAATGGAACAGTACTGTAGTGTAGTGTAATCACATGGGAAGTTGACACTATGTATTTTTCCATGGGCAGAACTCGCTCTGAAAGTTGTTTTATTTACTCCAATTGCACTTTGGCCTATACTGCATGGAGACCACGTGCCCTGATTGTAAATAACAAAGTGCATGATTTGTTGCATGGCAGAATTGCATCAGATTTGAATGGAAGTAACTCACATATGAACCTGTGCTCAACTCAGCAGCGTTAAAGGTAAAAAATCTAGTTTCCACAAATGTAGTCAGTCGGCCGAGGCATGTAGGGTCTGAAATTGACATCTTTAGTTTTGCATTGGGGTTGGAGTGGCTACCAAATAATGAACATAGACTTCTATTATGTTAGCCCTGTAGCTCCAGCGCAAACGTTCATGGTAAGGGTAAGTCAGTGGTTCTCAAACTAGTCCTCAGTGTTGCTTAGACAGTCCACATTTTTTCTCTCCTCTGACTCTAAATGCATAGGGATTGAACAAAAATGTGGACCATTTAGGGGGCCCAGTGAACCAGTTTGAGAACCTCTGCTTTCAACGCAGCATTAATTTTAAACGAACTGTGTTTTGAATAATGTAGCAGTGCGCAAATGAGCCAAATGTGGTGAATAACATGAGAGACTAGGTATAGAAGTTGCCAGATGTGCATTCACTAATAGAGGAAAATAAAAAAAATGCTCCTGAATAGGTTCAAAATATAGTGAAAATATAGTGTTGCTTGATTTTCACACTCCCTGTCACAGCTGCGTGAGCTTATGCACGAGTGTCATTTTTTTCGAATTGCTAACGTCTGCCTAAAAGACCATAAACACAGAGCACAATGCCACCCTATACGGCAGAAAGACTGACTGCTGCTAAAGTCAATAAGGCAGCAGATGCTGTATGGTTGTTAAGCGTAGCCCACACAATGAAAGGGAGCATTTGGAGAGAGGGTGGGGGCGGAGCCACAGTCTTACAAGCGATCCTATTGGCTGGGCATAACCCCGCCCCTTCCCTGCTCTCTGAGATAGTATAAAAGAGGCTCTCCAGTAGGAGCATTCAGAGAGACCTACACACAGAGACACAGACAGACCGACAGACAGACGCTCACCCACACACAGACTGTCGAGCGCACCACCACTGGCAGCTGGCTTGCTGAGACACACACTCGAACACACACAGTCAGTCAGCCTAGCGCAGAGCCGAGAGAAGCACAGGGGCTTCGGATGGGTCACACAATGAGAAACCTTACAGAAATGGGCTTGCTCAAGAACCGCTCTGCTTTCATCTGCAGGCCCACTCCGGAGGAAGCACTCAAGTGGGGAGAATCTCTGGACAAGCTGCTCGTCCACAAATGTAAGTGGGGCTTTGTTTGATCCTTTCCAAGTATTTCACAGAGATAGATATTTATAATCCAATTTTATTTAATGCTTATTTAATCGGGACAGTTACATGGGCATGGATAATATGCCACATGTCTGATGCCATATAGCTATAAGATGGGCTTTTAATAAAAAAAAAATCTAAATAGAGAAAGAGAGATTGCACTTAGGAAAGAAACCAAGCTGTGTCTGTGAAGCAAAAAATACATCCACATTAAATGTAATCGCATTTATGTTGAGATAGCAAAGATGTGTTTGATTCAGTGGAAATCTGTGGGATTTTTGTTTGTTTTACTGATTATAAAAGGGGGAACATTTAGCCTCTAAAGGAGCAGAACATTAAATAAACATATTAAATGCAGTCACTGTATGCTAAACATATTTAGGCGTGCCTATTTACACATAAAGTATAAAAGCATGGCATACATTTGGTGAAATTCAGTGCTTGTATTACCATATGGTGAATGAATGTGATAAAGTTGTGCTGTTTTGTATTCACCTTTTTGCTTTGCACTGGAATTTCTGGCCACATTGTTGTGCATCGGGCAATTAGACATGCTGTTCATGGCCAGCGCAGTCAGTGGTACTCTGTATGTGCAGAGAGAGAGAGAGATAAGGAAAGACAGAGAGAGAGAGAGATTGAGTAGTCTGTTGGATTCAGTGTGGCTCTCGCATTAACTCTTGATGAATTGAGCCATACATCAAGAGCGAGATTAAGGCAGAGAGAGTTTAGTGTGCTAAAAAAAGCCCCATGTGAAGATCCTATTTCTGCCTTCCCTGCACAATTCATAATATCGAACATCTAGGCTTTGCCGTTTTTGGGAATTTTGGAAGGTTAGGGTTAGGGTTAGTTCCTTTCCCTCTTTCCGAAAAACCCTCATAGCAACAAAGCTGCTAGCTTATCTGCAGCTGTTCATGGGAGCGGAAAGGTGCTGGTGAACGGAGGGGTGGGTCCCCACTTCCTTCAATTCTTGAGCTGGCGCCTTTTCCTTACAGTGACCAAATTCCAAAAGCAGTGCAAATATGTGTATGATGACACCGGTGAATTAAACTGAGCTGCATTTTTGCGTAAAGCACGTCAGCTCCGGCTTCCGAAAGCCATTATGAAGTCGGATTGTTTTGCTCATTTCTAATGCACAATATCAGCACAAGACAGGAAATATAATCAAATTCATAACTGAATTGCTGCAACGGTTAAAAGCTTCAAAAAGCTTTTAACTCATTATTTTAAAATCATCTGCAGCAATAAGTGATGGAAGCAGAGCAAGGAAAGACAGGAAATGTGATCAAGTTGCTGGTCAGTATTGATGAGAATGATGAGGTTACTGTGGTCCATGTGACTCAGGCGACTCTTCACTGGAGCCTGCCGTTGCCATGGTTCTTTCCCTCCATCCCGTCCAATAACACGTCTCTCTTATTTTCTCCCCCCTCCTCGCTTTCTCCATCAGATGGCCTGGCAGCGTTCAGAGCTTTCCTGCGCACCGAGTTCAGCGAGGAGAATCTGGAATTCTGGTTGGCATGCGAGGATTACAAGAAGATTAAGTCGCAGTCCAAGATGGCGTCGAAAGCCAAGAAAATCTTCGCCGAATACATCGCCATTCAGTCCTGTAAAGAGGTGAGTTCCTGTGAGGAGTTGAAAACATCTGTAAATATAAAAAAAAACAGGCAAATATGAGCAGTTGAAGCAGTTCAGGAAGGCATCAGACATCAAAAGAGATCAAAAGAGATCCTTTGTGTTTTGAAAAGCAGCATGACGCAGGCTAAACACAGACTACATCCAGCCAAAACATATTTCTGTTGTTTTGGCTGGGTTGCTATAAAGAAATTGGCCGCAATGCGCTTGATGCCTCTCTAGAAAAGGTACCGAGATAAATGTCCAGTCTTTGTCTCTGGTTTCCACAAGTGGGCCCTGAGAGGCCCTGAGAGGATATGAGGTCATACCTGCCAAATGAGTTCACGTTTTGGCTGTTGCTGCACCCGGCCAATAGCTTTAGCGCATGTTTTCACTTTCTGAATTGGAGCAGTGCGTGGAAACTGACAAAACGAGCCAGTGGCAGGAGCTACCGGTGGTTTCCATCTCTAGTTCCTAAGGACTGTTTTTAGATCATTTCTAGTCCATGGCCTATGAATAACTCTTAACCCTTTCAAGCTCTGGTTTTCAGGCTCAGTCTTCAGTTCCTACTATGTAACAATGTAACTGGCATAGTAGTTTCTTCGTAGTTACGATTCAGAATAGTTACAGAATAAGCCTTTATTTCTCAACCTCTACTTATTATTCAGTTATTAATCCAAAACTGAATAATAAGCCCAGAGTTTAAAGCTAACAGAGCACAGAATGTCTTTGATCAGTGCAAAGCGGTACAATTAGAGGACTTGGCAGTGACTGATCTGTTTTCCTTTTTCTTCACCTCCAGGTGAACCTGGACTCATACACCAGAGAGCACACCAAGGAGAACTTGCAGAACATCACGCGCTCCTGCTTCGATCTGGCCCAGCGGAGGATATACGGCCTGATGGAGAAAGACTCGTACCCCCGCTTCCTTCGCTCCGAACTCTACATGGACTTGGTCAACCAAAAGAAAGCGAGCACCACGTCGACGGCGTCCTCGTCGTAAAGAGGATGCATGCTTGTACCCGGAGAGAGAGACACTATAGAAACTTAGCATCGCGGAAGGTTTCTTTCACTTAGAGTTTCGTTCTCATTCGCCATCCTGTCCTACGATGAGCCAAGGCAAGACAGACTGAGGCGGAGGAAAGACGATGTTCACAAGGTACAGGATGGAAAGATCTAAGAGAAAAAGAGAGGAGGAGACGGAAAGGAAGACGGTGCGGCCTGATCCAGGGCCTGCTCTTAAGTGAGCCGGACAAGTGGGGTGTCCCCATGGCGAGTGCTATCGATGTATATTTTTTTGTTGTTGTTATTATTTTTTTTCCCCCCATTCTTATTTATGGTTTTCCCTTAAACGTACTGGAGAAAGGAGAGGAGGGGGAAACGTCTTCTTGCTTCGACACAAAGACAGTCGGGTACTGTTTTGTCGCCTCTTCTTGTTTTGTCTGCCCATGTTTTCCTTTTTTTCCCCTCCTCCTTCTCCTCTGGTGCCATTGGTACGACCCATTCTTGCTCTCCCTTCATTCTCACAATGACGCTCCTGGACATTTCCAAGCTCAGTGAAAAGATGTAGCTTGTTACCCCATCTTTGATCTTTATGGTCATGCACTTCCATACTCAAGCACAGTTTTCTAAGGCTTTAGCCTTCACCCCCCCCCAACCTTTCTGCCCAAGTGATGCGGTCCCGGTCCCAGTAAAAGACAATTTGAGGCAAAAAAAAGCTCTGGAAAGGCACGGACCAAAAAAGTTGAACAACGGGAGGACGCCGCTACTGAAGCCCTTGGAAATTGACCATCCAAAGACTGTACAAATGAAAAAAAGTTCAAAATGTTTTACTGTGTTTCTGTATAGCCAATAAGCATTTCAGTGTAGCTCCACGTGGGGACCGGACGAGAGCATTCTCAGGACTGTATGGCACTCGACTAATGAAGCTTTCAGGCTCGTTCCAACCTTTCTGTACCTTTTTTCTTTTACACATTAAAATGTCATTTTCAAACCTGCACTCCATAGACAGAACAGGAACAAGGCCAGTGTGGCCTCTCCCTGTTTATTTGTTGATAAGAAAGACAATGCTTTACCTGTACAAAGGTTTGCCTATTTATTTAGATCCTTGCTGGATGTGTCGGTCAAATTGCACTCAGCTGAACCCCCCCCTCAACACCCCCTCCCCAACCCTCTTACCCATGATCCAAGTGCAATATGTTTTATTATTTTTGTTTGTTTGCTTATCTTTTGGATAAGTTTGACTTTATACGAGAGAGACAATGGATGGAGCTCTGTATTAATTTTTATTTGCAAAAAAAAACAAAAAAAAAACAACCTGCTTGAAGACTGAGCTGCGGTTTAAGAGTTAAGTAGTTGACATAAGCGAGTTATTATTCTAACTGTGTACCCCCGGCAGCAGGCAGCCGGGGTTTATGGATGTAAATATAATTCTTAAGAAAAAAGTAAAACGACGAAAAAAGACAAAAACGCAAGGTTTCGTGGGAAATCCCACGAGGCTGAGTTGTATCTATGTAAATACTGAGAGCATCAAAAGCTATAAAAATGACATGTATTGTTATCAAATGGGGGGAAGAAGTGGGTACAGTCCACCTCTTCCTTGGTCATACACTGCTTGTAAGGAGTTTTATGAAATGTATTTTATCATTTTCACTGTTTACAATTCAACGCATCTCCTAAGATAGCAAGCGAAAAAAGAAAATAGAAAATTACATTTGGTGTCATTGAGAAAAAAACAAAAAAAAAAACATAAAATAAATAAAACATACAACTGGTAAAAATGATATCACCTTGTCTTTGTCTTTTATTGTTATTCACTTCCATTAAACCCCTCAACATCTCAGGCTTATTATTCAGTAATTACATAGACTGGAGTTATTCTCAAGTTACACTCAGGTTATAAACACAGCTCTTTGCCATTTAAGGGGTTTATGCCTCCTTAAATGACCTGGAATGACTACGAACACCATCACAGACCTTATCAGACTGAGGTTGGCCTGTGCGTTTGAGCCTCTATCGGTCAAACCTTCGTAAACAAGCCAGTCTTGCTTCTGTTCTACATAGCTGGCCTCAAACAGTCATAGGCATCCCAAAGCACTCCCAAACCTCCTCCGCCTGAAAACATGATGAATGAGTGAGGTCAGAAGGAAAAAAGAAACAGCGACAGCGGGAACAGGAGATGGGAGCGAGTGATAAAGCTGTAGCCGTCTCGTGTGTTGATGTGTGGCAGCTGACAGACTGAAAACCTGCTTGGACTGCGAGAGTAATCTCCTTTTTTTGCCCACTGCCATCTGTCTTGGTGGGTTTTTTTCAAAGCAGGCTGACAAACACTGCCGTCCACCCTTTTATCACTTTTTGGCCAGTTCTTTCCTCCCTCCATTTATCCTCAGCCTTTTCTGGCCTCTCTAGCTCTCTCTGTTTGTCTGACTCTCTCTAGCTGTCTTTCTCTATAGCTCTCTCTATCTTTCTCTCCAGCTTTCTCTGTAGCTAGCTCTCTCTCTCTCTCTCTCTCTCTCTCTCTCTCTCTCTCTCTCTAGCTTTATCTTTATAGCTCTCTATCTTTCTCTCTAGCTCTAGCTTTTTCTTTCGCTCTTCTTCTCACTGTAGACTTCTCTATCTAGCTCTATCTTTCTCTGTAGCTCTCTCACTAGTTTTCTCTTTAGCTCTTCTCTTTCTTTCTCCACAGCTTTCTTTGTTTAACTTCATCCTGCTGTCTCTGTCTTAATCTATAGCTCTCTCTCTCTTTCTCGCTCTCTCTCTAACTCTGCATCACTTTTTAGCTCTATCTTTCTCTATAGCTCTCTCTCTCTCGCTCTCTCTCTCGCTCTCTCTCTCTCTCTCTCTAACTCTGCATCGCTCTTTAGCTCTATCTTTCTCTCTCTCTCTCTCTCTTTCTCTCTCTCTCTCTCTCTCTCTAACTCTTCATCGCTCTTTAGCTCTATCTTTCCCTATAGCTCTCTCTTTCCCTCTCTCTCTCTCTCTCTCTCTCTCTCTAGTCTCTACATTGCTCTTTGTCTATCTTTCTATATATTGTCTTACTATATTTCTATTTTCTCTCTGTCTCTCTAACTTTGTCCTTATCATTTTTTTCTCTACAGCTCTCTTTTACTCTCTCTCTCTCTCTTTCTCTCTCTCTCTCTCTCTCTCTTTTTTTTTTTGAAAGGCTTCCTTCCTCTCCTTCATATCTGTTCTCACTTTGCACAGTTTTCATGACTAAAAGTGAAAGTTTTTTTGTGTTTGAAAGAGAACAGAAAAGCAGTAACTGCTCTTGGCTCTCCCTCTCCGCCGCATGCCTACTGTCCACTCTGACAGCTCCGTTCATCCTTTACTGCATTCTTTTTAACTTGGCTAAGAAAGCTGTGAAAATATTCCCTTCTGGTGTGAAATCAGTAACGATGAAGGACGTCTTTGTGGTCATTAGAATCCACTGGGACCTGCTGAGCAGATGGCATCTCGTTTTTTTTGTCATTCATAGAAAAACTATTGCAGGCATTTTGTTGGTTTCGCAACTGACTGCATTACAGTTCTGCTATTGATTTGGTATGTTTTCATAACATTTTGTGTCTTATTGATCATGAAATAGTCTTTTTTTCTGTAATGCAGTGGTTTATTATGAATATGCTGTTGATTAGGCCTGCAGTATCTTGCTGACAAAGGTGACGATGCTGTGAAAAGATATTCATGTGTATTCAGTTTTATTGTCGATATTGTTTGCCCCCAAAAAAGTGTTTTTTTTTGATTATGATAGTCAAAATGTCAATTGATTCAATTGTCAATTGAAATAATCGCTACTTGCAGCCCTGGCTTAACGCACTGACATGACTTTGTATTACAGCAGTGGAAAATGAGAAGGAATAGATGGAAAAAAATGCCAAAGAGAAAGAATTTTTTTTCTTCACTTTTTTGTTTAATTTGTTAATCAATTGATCGGTGAATAGTCAAAATATTAATTGGTTACAAAAATAGTCACTACTTTTCAGCCCTTGCTTCTTGCACAGACATGGGTTTATCATTTAAGTTAGTTGATTAAAAAAAAAATAATCATTAGTTGCAACATTGTAACAAAAGCAAAAATGACTTTATGTCACAGCAGCGGAAAATGGAAAGGAATAGATGGAACTTTAAGTGAAGAAATTGCAAAAGGAGAGAAAATCTTTTGCCTTGTTGTTTAATTTGTTGGTCGATTAATCGATGAATTGTCAAAATGTTAATTCATTACCAAAATAGTCACCAGTTTGCAGCCCTTGCTTGTTGCACAGACATGAGTTTGAATCATTGCAGTGGTAAATGGAAAGGAAGTTTTAGTTTTAGTTTGATTAATCAATTAGCTGGATTAGTCAATTGATTAATAGTCAATTTGTAAGTTGATTAAAGATATAATCATTAGTTGCAACATTGTATCCAAAAAAATATTCAACTTCTATAATAAAAGAAGCAGAACACTTTCATTTGGTTAGTTTAGTTAGATTATTTGATTAAAGGAGAGACATTCTTTAGCTTTTTTGTTCAATTTAGTTGATTAATCGATAAATAGGCAAAATGTTAATTTGTTACAAAAATAGTCACCACTTTGCAGCCCTTGCTTGTTGCACAGACATGAATTTGAATCATGTCAGTGTTAAATGAAAAGGAAGTTTTAGTTTTAGCTTGATTAATTGATTAGCTAGATTATTCAATCAATCAATAGTCAGTAAGTTAGTCAATTAAAGAAATAATCATTAGTTGCAACATTGTAACAAAAGCAAAAATGACTCACAGCAGTGGAAAATGAGAACGAATAGATAGAACTTTAAGTGAAGAAATTGCCAAAAGGTGAGCAATTCTTTGCTTTTTTGTTCAATTTAGTCGATTAATCGATGAATAGGCAAAATGCTAATTGGTTACAGAAATAATCACTTCATTGCAGCCTTTGCTTGTTGCACAAACATGAGTTTGAATCATGATAGTGGTAAATAGAATGGAACCCTTTGGTTTTAGTTTGATTAATTGATTAGCTAGATTAGTTCATTGATTAATAGTCAATAAGTTAATCAGTAATAGAAGTAATCATTGGTGCAAGATTATAAAGAAAGAAAAAAGATAGAACTTTAAATGATTGCAAATGAATCGAATCCCATTCACTTGGTTAATATAGTTAGATCAGTCGATTAGTTTGTTAGTTGAGTTGATTAATCGATTTTTAGTCAATAAGTTAAACAGTTATAGAAGTAATCATTAGTGCAACATTATAACAAAAGAAAAAAGATAGAACTTTTAATGATAGCAAATTAAGAGGAGCCCTTCCACTTGGTTAATGTAGTTAGATAAGTCGATTGGTTTGTTAGTTGAGTCGATTAATCGATTAATAGTCAATAAGTTAATCGGTTATAGAAGTAATCCTTGGTGCAACATTATAGCAAAAGACAAAAGATAGAACTTTTAATGATTGCAAATGAATCAAAACCCTTTCACTTGGTTAATGTAGTTAGATAAGTCGATTAGTTTGTTAGTTGAGTCAATTAATCGATTAATAGTCAATAAGTTAATCGGTTATAGAAGTAATCCTTGGTGCAACATTATAGCAAAAGAAAAAAACATAGAACTTTGCATGATGGCAAATGGAGAGAAACCCTTTCATTTGGGTTATTTAGTTAGATCAGTCGATTAGTTTGTTTAGTTGAGTCGATTAATCGATTAATAGTCGTTAGGTTAGTTGATTAGTTGCAGCTCTGCTCTGAAAATAGTAATGCATTCAGTTTACTTGGTTCAGATGTGGACATCACTTCCACTGCAATAAAACAGCAATAATAATAAGTAATAACAATTATAAGTAATAATAATACAGTAAGTAAATAGGCCTGGAGACAGTATTTGGGTTGTAATATATTTTTATTCATGTATAACCAGTGCACACAATTGAATCAGGTAAATTCACCGCACTTCTTCTTCTGTGTACTGTTGATTGCGGCAAATGGCAGTGATTTCAAAAGCTTTTCAGCAAGTTGCTTAGGAACCACTGCCTCCCTTCTCGTCCACTGTGTATGCACTGACCTCGATGATCGCCCCAGTCAGGAGCACCAGGCCTACAAGTAGACCCACTTACTGAACAAGTGCCTGCAATCTGCATGGTAACCGGTCAGTTGGACCTGAATGCTGTCAGAAGCAGCTGTGCCGTCTTTCATTTGGACCCCAGTCCCCAGGCCATCCACACACACAGGAAGCCCTAAGCAGCAGGTGGTCTTGCCCAGCTTGCCGGAGCCTGTAGAGGTTAGAGAGGCGACAGTAAGCCGAAGGCGGCTGTGTTTGTACTTGGCTAAGCTTGTTATTACTCCTCCGAGGACTGGCAGGATACGGCGAGGCTGAAAGACGGAGAGAATAGCCTGCAGATTGGATTACAATTTCTTGCTCTGACATTCTGGATTGGCTGGTTGCTAAAGCAACTGGCAGTGTTTGTGTAAGCCTGGGTGTGTGTGTGTGTGTGTGTGTGTGTGTGTGTGTGTGTGTGTGTTTGTGTGTGTGCTCGGTAAAGCCACAATCAGGGATTTATGTTTACATCAATTGTATGCAGCTTCAACATAGATTGTAGAAGATTAGGCCTGTGTGATTGCGGCAGCTCGTTTGCAGTGTAGACCAAAATAATAGAGGATATTGAATGCAAATGACATCACTTCCTTGCATAATATGAAGCCAGTTTTCTTGCAGGTAAATGCATTAAATGACTATAATTCGATTTTGCTCCTCTACAATTTCACGTTTCAAGTCATTTGTAGGAAACAATAAAACATTAGGAAATATTTGTCATGTA